GTGATGAAAATAACGGTGAAAGGTATTTTTTGAGCCTGAGAAAAAATCGATGGCATGAGTTTGGGAATGAAATTAAAGTGATTTTATCATTTCCGTATCTGTTTTCAGGAATACACAACACCAGGTAGTATTAAACATAATATGAGTAACTTCACCCTTCCTTCAAATATCCTTGTTTTTAAAAAATCTTTTAAAATATTTGAGCCTATAAACTAACAAAAAAAAAGCAATGGATTTTCACCTTACCATTTGTCTTGGACTGATTGAGATTTGAGAATGGAATTAATTGTACTTAAATTATATCTTTTTCCTTGTCTTTTAGTCATGATGGTGATGAAAAGGATTGTGAAAATTGCTCAGAATATCCTGACTTTGAGGTAAGAGTACACATCCCCATGAGGGATTTCTCAAGTTAAATGTAGTAATAGTGTAAACTTAGGGAACTCATATTCTGTACCACTACCATGACATGACGCAAAGTTGAGTATGTTTAAAGAGAACAGAACTACTTAATGAATATCTTCTAAAGAACCCATTATGAGAGAATACTGATTAAGGAGGGCAGTCATATTCCTCGTCTAAATGGTACCTGTTACTTCTCCATGGTTATTGAAACTATCAACTCTGAATTCTAATGAATTAATGAACAGCCTGTTGACTCAAAAGTAAATTTTAACCAAAAGAAATCACTCAATACTTAATAGCTCGAATGGGTCATTTACTCATCCAAGTCAGCCATGGAGAAGAGAGTCAACATAAAGGCGTCAAGCTTAGAAACAATATGTTTCAGAAATACGTAAATCATCATAGCATAATAGAAGTAGTATTGGCCTTAGAGTTATATGATCTGAGTTTGAATCCTGCTCCAATACTTAACTATGTTACCTTGGACTAGCAACAACTTCTTCGGAGCCTCAGTTTCCTCATCTATAAAATGGGGAAAATAATATTGCACTAATAACCTCACAAGGCTGTTGTAAGGAAAGTGCATTGTAAGTCTTAAATTTCTACATAAATGTGAGTTATAAGTCAAATAAGATCATATTTGTAAAGTGCTTAACACAATGTCTGGCATATTGTAGGTGCTACGTAAATGTTTATTCCCTTCCTTAATAACTATTTGGAACTCAGAACACATTTTTCCCCCCTCCATTTTACCAATGTCATAAATAGGGAAAGTTAGTTTCCCAGGTTGACCCAAAGAAGATAATTTAACTCATAAGACTGCCTAATTGTAGTTTGTTATTGTTTCTACTAGAAAATGCATCCAGAGGTCAAACTGGGAACTTGGAAGGCTAGGAACTTATCTCCTCCCTTCCCTATTCCCTCCCCTTCCTTCCCGACATACCTTGAGAGAGGATTCATATTTTTCCTTATTCTGAAGAGCAACTGGTAAGGAAGAGGAATTTGGGGGTGTGGGTGGGAGTTCCCTGGCATTGAGGAATAGTGGAAAGAAGGGATTCCCATCATTGTCACCAGTTTATATGTTTTATTGTTCATATTTTCAAGGCTGTCTATATTAAGAAAAAGTTCATTAATTTGGTTACGCATTGAAATCATTCTTTAATTCGGCATGTATTCTCATCACATTATCTCTTCTTGTGCTTTATGATATGAACACAAAGATATATGCATCTGTCCTATGCTTCTCACTTCACCTTACTTATTGTGCAACTTGCTTTTACAAGGTACTATTTAGCAAATTACTATGATTTTAGTTCATTTGAGGTTTGGGTTTTGGTTTTTTGGGGTTTTTTTTATACCATCTATCAGATGCTCAAAAATAAAAATGTCCAAACACAAATAATTGATGAAGTTGCTAATAAACCATTACCTCCTTGTCCCCTCCTCCTGGAAGCTGCTCCTAGATCATAGATTGGTGGTTCCTGACATATGGGCCACAGGCCAAGGAGTTATTGCAAATGATCCGCAGATCCATATGGACATAATGCATTGTCATTTTGCTCTTCCTTTATCTCTAACAAAATCTGAAGCATACTCAATAATGTTTTGCGTAGATGCATTACTATTTTTCAAATATATATGTATACATATGATTTAAGGGGTGAATAAAATATAAATGAATTTAAATGTGTTTGTATTCCTAGTAGCTTTTTGTCAACAGTTTATCAAGCAACACATTAGAATAATACAACTGCTTTCATGGGGCCCTGCAGAATTTCATGTTTAAAAAAAAGGCCTTAATACTTGAAAAAGTTTGGAACTGCTCTCATAAGTCACAGTATTAGAATTGGAAGGGACATGTAATCAGTCTAAGCTATTCATTTTACCGATGAGGAAACTGATGCCCAAGGAGGTTGTAACTTGCCTAAATTTACACAGCTAATTAGCAACAGAGTTCAAATTAGAATATCAGATTTCTCATCCCCAAGTCAGTCCACAGCTCTTTATCTTCACACCTTTATATTTAATAGGGTCTGGGTCTCCAAAGTCCATCTAATCCAACCAACCCAACCAACCCATTCACTTTCTTTCTTTTTCTTTTCTTTTTTTTGAGATGAGAAAACTGAAATCCAGGGAGGTTAAAATCAGAAGTGGGATTTGAATCCAGGTTCCCTAACTTCTGAGTCACTACTCTTCTCACTGTACCATGCTGCCTCTCTTAAATATAATATAATATAATTTTTGATCATGAATTTTTATTTCCTGGTGTAGGGAATTCTCAGTGACACAACTCCCTTTATCAACACAGCTTTACAATTTATAGTTTTAGAATTTTCCGGTAAACTGATAGGTTAAGTAACTCGTCCAGGCTCACACAGCTAGTCCTTATTTAAGAAAACCGCAAACATGCTGGCTCTGTGGTGGGATGGCACTTGAGAGTCTATAGGCCTGGGCTCTTTAATCACTTCTGACATTAGCTTGTAAGAGCCAGGGCAGCCCGCTTCGCCTCGTCTGGGGGCTGGGGGCCAGAATGGTCCTGCGGGTGGGGATGACGCATCCACACCTCCCCGCCCCCGCTGGGTCTCTAGGTCTCTAAGTTTCACAAGTCCCTAAGCCTCTTGTATAAAATGGAGATAATTAACACCTACAGTAAGATTCAAATGAGATAATTTATGTAAATTGCTATATTACATGCCAACTATTGTTAGTAGCTAGCCAGGGATGGGGGCGAGCTTTGTCAAATTTACTATCTCCAATCGGATACACTTTTTTGGGGGAAGGTACCCTAAGGTTCCAGAACTGGCTCCCTAAATGCTCCAGGGCCACCAGCTCCTGGACCTTCCAGAGCCAACTCCCGGTCAAATTTCTGAGAAAGAGGTAAAAGACGAAGAGAGGGGGAAAAATTTATACTTAAAACAACAACAAAAAAGCATTATAAGCTCCCCCCGAAAAATTCCTTTCTTACCACACCCCCTACCTCAGGTACACACAGTCACACACACACAGAGCACACACAGACACAACCGCATTCAGCATCATTTGAGAAATAGTTTCGGAGGGGAAGGCTCCGAGGGGCTCATGGAAGCAATTGCAAAGTAAACACGCCTGCGGAGAGGCCTGATGGCCAGTCCTGAGTCAAACTCCCCTGCTTTGCGCGGGGCGCGCGCCAGCAGAGTGGGGCGCAGCCCAGCCCAGCCCTCGGCCTGAGCCAGGGTCCCCCTTCCGGGAGCTGGCCGCGAAATCCAGACCGGCTGGCGGGATAAAGGCCACTTTTTTTTTTTAATAGAATTGATTTTCCCAGACCTCCAGCTGTCTTATTTTTTCTCCCCTTTTATGATTATTCTGTTCACAGTGCACCAAGCCAGCCAACCACTCTGCTTTCTGTAGTTGTTTGCATGGGTTTTTCTCCGGTTAAGTTTTGTTTTTGTCATTTTCCTGCCGCCCCCGCCTCCCCGCGCTGCCCCCCCCTCCCCTTCCAGCCTGGCATCTGGGACGGGAGCGCTGCCCTCACGGCTTTCCCGGCCAGGGCGCGGAGAGCCCGGTCCCCGCGGCGCGGCGAGGCCATTATGTAATGCGCGGAGGCGGGCAGCTCCTTCCCGGCCCTGGAGGCTCCCGAAGCCGTCGCTGTCCGCGCGGTCGCCTCTCCCAGGTCCCCAGCGAGCCCGGCGGGCTCCCGGGGCCAGGCCCCGCGCGCTAGCAGCGGGAGGGACCCGAGAGAGAGCTGGAGCCGGGCTGGGCAGGGCCGGGGGGGATGCACTCAGCTCCGAGGGGGCTGCACCCCCACCTCCCTCCTACAATGCCACCCACCAGCAAGTCCTGGGCGGGCGAGCACTCCGCCCACCCCGGCCCCCTCCTCCTTTCCTAGCCCAACCCGCCTCGCCCGGTGGGGGCGAGGGGCGGGGAGAGAATGGGACGGGGATGGCCCCGGGGGTGGGGGGTGGGTGGGGATGACACGGCCACACCCCCCCGCCCCGCCCGGTGCACACGCGGCTGGCACCCCCACCCCACCCTCTCCCAAGGACGCTGGGCTCCCTGCTCCCAGCCTCGTCGCTGTCCCTTTAATTGGGGAAGGGGAAGCTGGAGGAGTGGGGGGGAGGGGTGTCGGAGAAGGAGGAGGGTTTCTTTCTTCTTTTTTTTGAATGAACAGTGACGTAGCCCCCACAGGAAACCAGTTGGTTAGTGAGGAGAATGAAGTAAGAGGCCAGAATATACCCCCGCCCCCTTTCCCCAGTTCTCTTCTTCTCCATCCACCCCCGCCCTCCCCGACCCCCCCTCCCCATCCCTCTCTGTCTGCCCCGCTGCAGCTGCACTGAACTCTCCCTGTGGCGCTGCTGCTGCTGCTGCCGCCGCTGCTGCCGCCGCCGCCGCTGTTGCCGCCGCCGCCGCCGCCGTCGTTGCCGCCGCTGCTGCTACAAGTGAATGTGCATTAGCCGCCAGGACCTCCCCGCCGGCGGCGCACACAGCCGACTCAGTCACCCCAGCCCTGACTTCGCTGCACAGGGGTGGAGGTGGTGGAGGAGGCGAGGAGGAGGCGAGGAGGGGGGAGGTGCCGGTGCTGGTGGTGGAGGTGGAGGTGGTGGAAGAGGAGAAAGGGTGTGCGGCAGCGGAGGGTGCCCCGGTGGGGTGCAGCGGAAGAGGGGGTTTGGAGGGGAGAACTTCGTAGCAGTCATCCTTTTTAGGAAAGGAGGGAAAAATAAAACCCTCCCCTCACGGCTTTACCCCCACCCCTTCACCAGCACCACCACACACAGCGAGGTCTCCTCTCGTGGAGCACACCGTGGTGTCTACGCTTTCTGCCTTCATTTACCAAGCAGCTTTTTGGAAAATGTCTTTTCTGTCCGGAGTTTAATCAGAAGGGGATTTTTTTTTTGACTCTTCCATCTTTTTTTTTTTCCTTCTCTCCTCTCTCTTTTAAATGGAGACGTGAAGCAGTCATTGGAATAGAGATCAATGCCTGTACGCGCGCGCGTGTGTGCGTGTGTAAATTGCACAGGGAAAACCACAGGACTTCTGCAAAATACTGGATTGAAAATTGTAATTCATCTGCTGCCGCCGCCGTCGCTGCCTTTTTCTTTCTTTCTTTCTCCCCCCTCCTTTTTGCTCCTGGATTCTCCGATTGGGGTTTCTAGGGTTTGACATTTCTTTGGAGATGTCTGAAACAGAAGTCTGGGAATTAATTTGGAAATCCTTCTAATTTTTTCCAACTCCTGATTCATTTGGAAGTTTCAAAGCAAATATAACTTGAAAGTCCTGAAGATTTGTGGGATTTTTCCCCCCTTATGAGCTTGTTCTGTTTTCACAAAAAGGAAACTTGACAGAGGAGCGTACAGTACTTAGAATACAAGTAAGTTCTTTGCACAGGAAAAATTACTTTATGTAACTTTTAATAGACCTTTGAGGTTTTACCTAAAAGTGCATTAGAATATGTTTGATTCCAAGGCTAGTAAATTCTTATAAGTTGTATAATGTGTAACAGTAGTGGTAGTTAGAACCACATTCACCTAGAGTATCTAGAAGAAAATGCACCTGATTTTGACTCAGTATGAGTTTTTTTTTTTACCTTTCAGCATCACCGAGGAAAATAGAATAAAATAATCTAAATAATAACAATAGCGTGCCTCATGAAATAAAAAAGATACAAAAAGGAATTTAAATCATAAAAATACTGTGCATCTCATACCAAGGGGGAAACACCAGGAAGAATAAAATATTTCAGAGACAAGACTCCCCCAGAGTCAAGAAATGAAAAGCACATCCAATAAAATAACTGGATTATAATTATTATTCTGTATTTTGGGGGGTGTGGGTGGGAGAGGGAATAAGTGGTTGTTGTCACCATTTGGCCGCTTCCCTTGTATTCACTACTCCCTTCTTTGGGAACGATGGCTCACCCTGGAAGAAGAGGGTACGATAATCGGGAGATAGTGATGAAGTACATTCATTATAAGTTGTCACAGAGAGGGTACGAGTGGGATGCTGGAAATCTGAGGGCACCAGCCTCTCCAAGCCTTCCTTCTGTTGTTGCTTCTGCCCCTGCTGTTGGGGTCTTCTCTACCCAGCCAAGACATACACCTCTGCCTGCTGAACCCCAGGACTTGGCCACTTCTACGACTGCTGCTGCTAGAAACTCACCTTTGCCTCCTCCTCCTGCCGTTGCTGCTGCTACTGCTGCCGCTGGACCTGCTGTCAGTCCAGTGCCACCTGTGGTCCACCTGACCCTTCGTCAAGCTGGAGATGATTTCTCTCGAAGGTACCGGAGAGACTTTGATGAAATGTCAGGTCAGCTGCACCTGACCCCTGTTACTGCTAGGGGACGCTTTGCCACAGTGGTGGAGGAGTTGTTCAGGGATGGGGTGAACTGGGGGCGGATCGTGGCCTTCTTTGAATTTGGTGGTGTCATGTGTGTGGAGAGCGTCAACCGGGAGATGTCGCCCCTGGTGGACAGCATTGCCCTGTGGATGACTGAGTACCTGAACCGGCACCTGCACAACTGGATCCAGGATAATGGAGGATGGGTAGGTGTCTGGGCTGCATGTCTTGTTCAGTGTGAGTGTGAGAGTCTGTATCACAGGCTTGTCCCTGGATGCTGTCCCTGCAGTGTGTGGTCACTCTTCTGCCAAAGATGAGGGCAGCTAAGCCCTTCAAGGTGGGAGCAAAGGTTTTCTCTATGTTTTCCTTTACTTTTCTTTCCCCCTTCCCTTTCACACCCCACTGGACGACCCCTTTCCATCAACGTGGTTTCAAAGTATTGTTGCAAGTGAAGCATTTACTAACTTGTGCCTTCTGATAAGTTATCCTTGATAAGGGCTGTGGGGCTCAACCTATCACCTTGTGGGGATTAAACTCCACTAGAGAACCAGGCAATGCCTTCTTCAATTTCTATACCCTATACTGATCCACTATTAAATGTATAATCTAAGGAGAGAAAATGTGGGGTGCCTTTTCCCCTGGGAAAAAAGAAAAAAAACTTCAGGGTACATTTTAAAGCAGGAAGCTCACATTAGTTCCTTGGCTCAAACCTGTAACAAACAGGACTGTGGGATGTGTGTAATTTGTTACATGATTATGGGACTTGTCTATATGTAGTCTATATATAGACTGAAATGTACAACAGTGTATTCAGGAAAGAACTTCAGGATATTAATGACTCAGTTCTGGTAGTGAAATACTTTGCATTTTGTTTGTATAACTGGTTAACCTAAGACTTTGTTTTAGAATTTTAGATTCTGTTCAGCACATAGCACCTGTTTTCTTTTGATGAACTATTCTGCTGGGCTCTTTAATTGACCACTACTGTGTAAAAGAAGGAATGTTATCTCTTAGTATTGACCCTCATAGTCAGTGATTGGCAGATGTAAAGCACCTGTGAAATACTTTTTCTGGTAGGCTAAATAAATGCTTTGTCATTTTGACAAATTGGCATTCTAATCCAGAACTTGCTGACAATGACTTGACCATATCATTGAAACTTGAATAAGATTCAGAACTAAATTCCAACCTGGAATCTCAGGGCTCACCTGAAGTGCAGAACTTTTGTATCCAGATTTCATTTATGGTAGATAAAGCTTCTTGTTCTGACTTTTAATTAAATAACCCTTTTTTATGTTTCTGGGAACCTGAAAGATCACCTTAGAAGATGCTCCCCTCTTTTTTTATCCTTGGGAGAACTATTAATATTGCTCCATAAGATCTGATAACAGAAAAAGGCCTAGGAATAACTGAAAGTGAAATTTTATGCACACCCACAAATGCACAGATGTATGTACATGCACATATAATTTATGCAGAGTATTTAATATTTTATTGCAAAGTATGCTAATCATTTGTATAAGGGGAGAAAAGAACTGTAAAATGAAAATGGGACAAATATTAAGATAGATCTTTATATTTAAAAATGAAATTAACTAGATTTGCATAATTAGCTTACATAATAAGACTATATGGGGCAAGTTTATTCTTAGGTTGACTCCCATTTAGTTAGATTTTTGGCTTTTTGGAAAAATCATACAACATGGTTTGTGTGTATGTGTGTGTGCTTTAAAAAAAGATATCAATTATGAAAACAAAAGGTGTATCATTGAAAGCATAGTTTCTCCGAACTATACTTTAGTTAGACATGTTATATCAAGAAGCTAGGTTTATTTTTTCACAGCCAGTGCCAAAGAGTGTTTATTGTTAGGACTTGTGGTCTCCAAAAGGATCATCTCACAACTAAAACCAAGCTACCAATCACTGAGAATACACTGTCAAACCCTCCCTTCAAGTGGGAGAAAGCCCAAATGGCAATTGGCATCCATCAACTAATTTATTAATAAAGTGGTAAAAAGAACATACATTTAGAGATGGTTGCTAAATCATAACATTTATCTTTGCAGTTTAGCTATAGCATATTCTGCTATTTCCCCTCTCCATGACCTTGAGCAAATCTTCACCTCTCAGAGCCTCAATTCCCTCTGCTATAAAATGAGAACTTTGGCTCTAAGGTTCCTACCATCTCTAAATCCTATGATAGTCAAATCATATGCTTGTGAATCTGTGTTTTTAATGAAGACGTTTTTGGTCTGGAGGGAAGAAAGAGCTATCAAGTTTTCACATATTTTCATGGTCCACAGGTATTTAAGATTGACAGTGACTACATTTATGATGTCAAAACATACATACAGTGAAAAGCCCCAAGATAGCGAAGGCAAGTTGTGACCAAACTTTGTTAGCTAAAATAAACTCACAAATGGCTTAAAGCAGGCATTTTGCTAGCTTTCAGAAGGAAACAGGTTGGTGATTTCAAGGAAAACTAAAGGATTTGTTGAAAAAATGTCACAATATATGGAAATGATAAGTGGTGGGAGTTACTGAATTAAAATTGTGACATGTGGGATCTTTGTTTAAGGAATTAAAATATTTAAAGTATGAAACAAGAATGGCCAATTGCAAAGTGAAATCTTTCCCCACATTTCATTCTCTCCCCCCTCTCTCCCAGTAACATGACCTCTCATAGAAAATCTACCCAATAACCTTCCATTTTAGAATACTTTCTCATTTACTGCTAACCCAACGTAATCTAACCTTGCTCTTCTTTCTCAAGATGTTGTACGACAGCTTATTCAGATTTAAGAATAAGCCACATACAACTCAGTTTATTGTTTATTATTGTTTGTATTATCATTTCCAACTTGTTTGCATTATCATTTTGTATTTTTAATTTAGTACTTTAGTGGCACATAAGAAGTAATCATTTGTCTTTCACTTAAGTCAGCTGTGTCACCTTGGGCAAGTCACTTAACTTCCTTAGACCTCAATTTCTCCATCTTTAAAATGAGAGGCTTGGATTATATACCCTCTGAGGGCGCTGAGGGCACTCTAGATCTGTGGTAATATACTTTGATACTAAACTCTTTAAAAGCTTATCATTTTCAATCTGCAGTTTTCCCAGGACTTAATAAATCAGTTTTTAAACTGCTATATTAGTAGGTTAGCCTAAACTTGTGGGATTTTGTTGCTTTGGACACTTTTTGACACCAAACAAACTTACTAGAGCAGTCTGAGCCTTGGGTACTTAACTAAAGGAGAAAAATATATTACCTGTTTGGGAAATCATGGATTTGGCACAGAATGTCACACCTCTGATAGATCATCGTGATGTTTACAGACAAAATCAAAGCTAAAGACTCTGTTGAAGCCTGATATGTGACTTATTCTTAAATATGAATAAGGTGTTCTGTGATATCCTGAGAAAGGCAGAGCAAGGTTAAACTATGTTGGGCTAGCAGTAAGTGAGGAAGTTTTCTAAAATAGAAGATTATTGAGTAGATTTTCTATGAGGGGTTATGTTACTGGGAGAGAAGAGGGAGGAAAGGAGATGTTGGGAGATGTTGCACTTTGTAATTGATCATTCCGACTCTCCTGACAACCATCCCAAAAGTTCAGGTGCCCGGATAAATTCCTGAATGCCCACCGGGGTAGTCTAATCCTGGGAAGAAGTAAATTAGAAGTGGAGAGAAAAAAAAGAGGCCATTCTCAAGGTAGTTAGGCCTATCTAACCATCTGTGTTTCCCAGGGTACCAAAGCAATTTGCATGGGCATCAGTGGTCCATTTCAGGTAAGTTAACATTTCTGTTTAAGTGTTAAAATTTCAAAGGAGTTGCCCCAGTGGCGGTCAGATGGTTTAGCTCTTTTAATGACCCTGTTAACCATTATTTTATCATCCTGCCAGAGTCTGATTTTCTATATGGCTGCAGGGGCTCTGGGATTCTACTTCGGGACAAAGGAGCTCTTAGAAATTAAGTGTTACTGATCTAGGCTGCTGATGGTCAGTGCAAACTGTTACACCTCTGATACTTCGAAGGGGGATGATGTTCAGCTCAGTGTCTTACGGTACCGTTTTAATGAGGATGGAGATCATTCTATAAGGTTCTTTTTATTTCCATTCCATATACTTGCTGAGGTAGCGGTGTCTCTTTTTCAGAATCTCAAATTTTCCCTGAAGATAGCTTTTTCGAGGCTGTGCTTTGGAGAGTGGGAATTTAGTTCTCTGCAACCCTTGTTAGTTCCAGCCAGATTGTTTGGTGAGCAAGCGGTACTGCAGCCAAGCTGAATGCAGTTCACAGCCACTGAGGCATCTGATTAACTGGATAGTCAGAGCATTCTCAAGCCAGTGTGCCAGATGATATGTGAAGGAACGTCAATTTTCCAGCAGCTAAACATCAGCTGCTTAGAACCAATTTTGGCATCAAAATGTTAGGATTAAAAATAGCCCCAAAATATCTAGCTTTAAATAAAATGATGAACTTTCCTTGGGAAAGTACATTCTTTTAGCCAGTTAGGAATCACATGACACTCTTTAATAATTCATTGTGTAGATAAAAAATATTGCAGCTCCTACAGTTTTTTTTGGATTGATGTATGAGAAGAACTTCTTTAGGCCTGGACCTTTACAAAAGTTTATTGACTCCATTGTTAGTAAATCTAATTACCCTTTAGTTTAGAGCCTGTTTTGTTTATCATTGAGTTCTATCATTGAAAACATGTTTTCACTCAACCACCAGGTTTTTATTGTGCTTTCTAGTGAAAACCTGTCTTTAGTAATTTTGGATTGAACTATTACATTTCAGATTGCTTAAATGTCACTAGGCAACCTTCCCCCTTCCAGGTAATAAAAAAATACCCCCAAACTCCTGCCTTGTTTCAGCTACCTCTTGAATGGAAAGCCCACTCACCAAGCAGGTGAGTGGGTGCTACATACATTATTGATGGTTTCTCCCCACCACTGCCCCTCTAGGCTCACTTCTAAGGCCACTAATCATATTATAGAAATAGTGCAGCGACTGAAATTTATCAGAAGTGCATTTGTGGTTTTTTTTTTTGTTTGTTTTTTTGGTGAGGCAGTTGAAGTTAAATGACTTTCCCAGAGTCACACAGCTAGTGAGTGTTATGTATCTGAGGCCGAATTTGAACTCAGATCCTCCTAACTCCAGGGTAGGTGCTCTATCCACTGCGCCATGTAGCTGCCCCCATGCAT